TATTGAGAAAACTGGGAACTACAGAACATAGTAGGTTCGTAGACTTCATACTACCCAAGAAAACTACAGACTTGGATTTTTCAGAGACTATTAAGCTCCTATCGGAACTATTCGGGCCTAACACAACCTTGTTCCACAAACGTTGGAAATGCCTGAACACAGTCAAAGACAACCAGCAAGATTTTCTAACATTTGCAGCATTGGTAAACAAGCTCTGTAATGATTTTAAACTAGCCGAACTGACTGCCGATGATTTCAAGTGCTTAATTTTCGCACAAGGTCTAGTATCAGCAGAAGACGCCGAAGTCAGACGACGGGTACTGACCAAGCTTGAGAACGAACAAGGATTGACTCTCCATAAACTGGCAGAGGACTGTCAAAGAGTAATATCTGTAAAGTGTGACTCAAACACTATCGAGGAATCAGATGTGGCTCAGATTAATAAAATCAAAAGCAAGTCTACGTCCTATTCCCCTCAAAAAGACAAAAGGCAAATCTCATGTCCTAAATTCCGCAGTAACCAAAACCCAAATAGGTTAAAGAAACCGCCCGGACCATGTTACCATTGTGGTAAATGGCATTGGATAAAATTCTGTCCAGTTAAGAACAAAAAATATTGCAAAAATTGCACTAAAAATGGGCATACTTTAACTCGGTGCTGGTACGCCAACAGAACGAGAAAACCCAAAAATAAAATTAGGTAAACTCAATCTGACAATATTGTCGATAGGAATTTAAGGAAATATATAACTGTGGATATTTTCAATAATTCCATTAAATTCCAGCTTGACTCGGGTTCCGATCTTTCAACCATTAACTGGCGTACTTGGCGAAAATTAAACAAGCCGACCTTATTAAAAACGGAGAAAACAGCAAAATCCGTAACTGGCGGAATGATTAACATTTTAGGCGAGGTAATACTTACAGTAACACTAAATGGAGTTACCAAAAAGCTCAAAGCCTACGTATTGAAAACTTCAGATAACTTATTTGGAACAGATTGGATAGAAAAATTCAATCTTTGGGATTGCCCAATGAGTACATTTTGTCGCAAGATACAAAGTACAATGTCCAATCTCAAAAAGGAACTCAAACAACAATTTCCCCAGGTTTTTTCTGGCGGCCTTGGGAAATGTACTAAAATGAAAGCTAAGTTCAAGGTGAAGGACGGTGTACAACCGGTATTCAAAAAGAAACGGAATGTCCCTTTCGCTGCTCTAGAGCAAATCAACAAAGAGTTAGACAGACTCATTCCAAAAAATACAGAAGTCTTTGAAGACTCCATCATTGCTACTCTAAGGACAAATTGTGAAATCAAAAACATGATCGCGAGTACCATAAGAGAGCTCCCAGTTACTTTGGCCGACATAAAAAGGGAGTCTCGAGAGGATGAATTCATTCAATCCATAAAAAGAAAAATTCGCAATAAAGACCCCAATGTGCCTGAAGTTTTCTCCCTCTGCGATGATGTCCTACTGATGATGTCCTACTGATGATGTAGGCTGTTTGGAATCACTACGCGGTCATTGTATACAATGACCGCGTAGTGATTCCAAACAGCCTACAAGGAAAAATGCTCAGGGATTTTCACATAGGACATCCGGGGAAGAACCGTACGAAAAGCCTCATGCGCTGCTATGTTTATTGGCCAAACATGGACAAGGACATAGCAGACATGATAGAATCATGCAAAGGATGCGCGCTTGCAGCAAAAGCTCCAACCACGACGTGCAAACCATGGCCAAAGACAGACCATCCATGGCAAAGAATTCATGTCGATTTTGCAGGGCCTATAGACAACATGTACTACCTCATTGTTGTGGATAGCCACTCAAAATGGCCTGAGGTCCTACAATCCAAAAGACCAACCACAAACTGCATGATCGGATTTCTACACGAGCTATTCGCGCGTTTTGGCGTGGTAGATTGTGTAGTTACAGATAATGACACTCAATTCACATCAAGTGAATTTAGAGACTTCTGCAAGTCATATCTGGTGGACCACATTACAACGCCTCAGTACCACCCTACGTCGAATGGCCAGGCCGAAAGGTTCGTGGACACTCTAAAAAGGGCTTTAAAAAAGGCACTAAGCACACCGACAGATAGAGCATTGCAACAGTTTCTGCAGGTGTATCGGATAACCCCTAATCCGAACACGCCTATGGGAAGCTCGCCTGCAGAAACAATGTTCGCAAGGAAAATCAAGTCTGACTTCGACAAACTTATTCCACGGCAAGCAAAGTTAAAAAAAACCGTATCGCCTCATAAGAATTATTTCAATCCTGGCGATAAAGTCTTTTTCAAGGCTTACAAAAACAACATAACATTCTGGGAAGTAGGCACCATAAAACAAAGAATTGGCGAACTGGTCTATATTGTCCAAGGACCGAAAAACACTCACAAACGCCATTGGAACCAGCTCAGAAAATGCCGTTTGAAAGAATCGGAGGAATCACTACAAAATAGCTGTGAAGAGCCGATCGACGTAATTTTCGATCACTTCGATCTCGACACGCCCCAAGTCTCTCCTTAAGTGCGACGCTCAGGAAGGAAAAGGAAATTTACTCAACCGCTCGACATAAATCCCAAGAGAAAAAAGTATTAACAGTTTTATGTTTTTTTCTCTCCTTTTCAAAAAAAAAAAAAGAAAACTCTTGGAAGGGGGGTGTTGTGATATCGTAACATACCTACAACATGTACTCTTCCAGGACTATATAAAGTGTGCGATATAACACTCTAGGAGAAGAGGAGGAAAGAGCGAGAGAGAGTATTCTAATACTGTAGTATCAGCCGCGTACGACTACCAATATTGAACACTAGCACATAGTAAGCTCCGCTTACACTATCTTTGTAACCTTTTTGTTTAATATATCTTTCTTACCTCTAATCTGTGTTCCGTGTTTTCCTTCCGTGGTCCCAACTTTGGGATCACATCAGTAAGTAGTCACATCTCCTCACCACCATGCCCCGACGTATAAAAAGATAAAAACAAACGACAATTATTGGAGTAACTATGAGAGATTTAAACTTATTTTTCTCCAAAAGTTCCCGAGATTTGGGATAGATTAGCGAAAACGATGAAAATACATTTCAGTAAAAAAAAATAACAAAAGGTTTTAAGAAATTTCAATAATATATCAGGATATTTAAAAGTATTGTTAATTTAGTGACCAAATATGGGACTGTTGGTCATTGTTTCGGAGGTTCAATCTGTCGGCCTAGATAATTAAATCGTGTATTGTGCTCCTTTACAGAAGTGTATGGTAACCCTTTACAGAAGTAAAACTTCATTTACGCATCATCTAAAAAGCATTTGATAAAGAAGAAATTTGTACTCAGAAAAATCTACGATGTTAAGAAATAGTGTGAGGATTAATCTATTTGAATTTTCATTTACGTCATTCAAAAACTATTAGCCTGGATAAAAAGAACGTATCACAGATGTTACATTATGCCCAAACTGAAGATTATTTGGGATTGAAGCCATCTCCTGCTTTCTAAGAGACCGTTTCAACAGTCGATGCTCAACTGATCAACTCTCTTCTCTTCCAATGGCTTAGAAACATTATTTACCTTTTTCTTCTAAACAGGTTGATTATCTGTCGATGTTTCCTAATCCTCAGAATCAATAAGATTGTTTTTGATAACATTCTCAAAATATTATATATATATATATATATAATATTAGTGGTCAGTATATATATATATATATATATATATATATATATATAAAATTTCAAAGAGGATAGAATCCAGGTTTGAGACTTTTTTTTTCTTATATTTTTATTATATATATATATATATATATATATATGTAAGCAAATATTTGGATATAGATCCGACAGTATGAAGAAAAATATACAGAAAAAACAAACAAAAATCTTAATATGCAATTATGCTGTATTAATGTTAATATAAAGTCAACGTCGGACGTTTCGGTCTATTTTAGACCATCTTCAGGACATTTTCATTTAAACATAATTGACATTAGAACATATAAAAATTCAACACGAAAAGACGATGGACATAAGAGCACAACTAATCTAAACAGATAACTGAAATTTCATCAAATGCCATTTTTCTGCCTTGAAACTGATAGTCATTCTTATATTGAACCAGAATTCTCACAAGTATAGAATATCTCATTAACCCTAGAACACTAACCATGGGTATATACTACCCAGTGCAAATGACGTCATTGAGCGTGCGTATGGTTCCCGCGCTCTGAAGGGTCCCAGCTGCTTAGTAGCTTCAGTTGCCCACTTGACAGAGTTGACAATTTAGAGTAGTTAGTGAAATATTATATGACAGTGACATTGATGCTGAATATGTGCAAGAACCTAGTGACAGCAGTGACAATAGTGACTTGGAAAATGTACCTCCAAGAAAGAAAAAGAAAGTAGTGCGTGTTAGCCCTGCCTTGCCTGTGGTCGGGCCTTCTACTGTACCTGCTACTGCCCCTGTTGGTGGCCTTGCTGCTGCTCCACCTGCTGTTGCCCCTGCTGCTCCCCTTGGACGACGACGACGTACTGTACTTCAAACAGGTCGTGATGAGCTTGTTGTACGCTTCAACACAGCTACCATTAGATCTAGAAAAGGCTTTATGTGGAGAACTAGGCCAAATACAGTACGTACTCCTGCAAGAAATATATTACATGGTGTCCGGCCTGGCCCCTCCCAGCAAGCTTCCCAAGTCGACATCCCAGAGAAGTGTTTCTCTTTGTTGTTTATGGATGAAATCATTAATGAAATTGTGCAGTGGACCAACCAAAAATAAACACTGATGCAGCGAAATACAAGCATGAGAAGGCCACAATACAACCAACAACACCTGAGGAGATACGTGCCATGTTTGGGGGTCCTCATTTTTAGTGGCTACAGGAGAGACAACCACCTCTCCACTAAGGAAGTCCGGAGCCCTAAAGTTGGTTCCAATTTCTACAGGGCAGCTATGTCTGAGGGGCGCTTTACTTTCCCCCTCAACTGCCTATGCTTTGATGACTCTAATACCAGAGAACAGCGAAGAGGAACCGACAGGTTTGCCACAATCAGGAAATATTTTCATCGAGGCTTGTGGCACCCATTATATACCACACGAGTTCCTGACTGTTGATGAGCAGTTACTTGTCTTCCAAGGTCACTGCCCCTTTCGCATGTACATCCCAAATAAACCAGAAAAGTACGGCATCAAGATCGTTATGGTAAATGATGTCAAGAGCAAGTACATGCTGTCAGGGATCCCCTATCTAGGGAAGCAGGGGACACGGGCGACAGAGGGGCAAAACCTTGGCCACTCCTTCACCGAGGACCTGACACAGTGCTACCACAACACCAAAAGGAATGTAACTACCGAAAATTGGTTCACCTCTATACCCCTCATCCAGGTTATGCTGCACAATTGTGCCATGACGCTGATAGGGACAGTCAGGGGAAACAAGTCAGAGATACCAGAAGAGATGAAGGACAAGACTGCATGGGCTCAGATTCCAGTGCCTTCCTGTTCACGAAGGACATGACACTGGTATCGTATGTGCCCAACACCCCTTCCAGCAAGAATATTGTCCTCCTTATATCTTCAATGCATGGAGATAAGTCCTTGGCCAGCAGTGGAAAGCCAACCAGCATCGAGAACTACAACAGGACGAAAGGAGGAGTGGACACTTTCGACCAAATGTGTGGTCAATATTCGTGTGACAGAAAGACGAAGAGGTGGCCGCTCTGTGTGTTCTATGGCATGCTGGACGCTGGGGTCATCAACTCCTGGATCATCGCTGGGCATATGCAGAAGACAGGTGGCAGACAGAAGAGGAAATGGTGAAACCCTGGGCAGCTCAAGGATCATATATGCACAGTTTTTTAGCTGCCCACTCCCCCTGGACCTTCAAGATTTTCTGGACTACCTGCAGCAGACATGAGGGAGTCCGTGGTGCGCTGTGTTGTCTGTCCCACGAAGGCAGACAAATAAAAAACACGCTTCCGGTGTGTGTCCTGTCAACGAGCTATGTGTCCCAAACATGTGTAGCAACATATTACATCATGTGTAGCAACATGTTACATCATGAGTAGCAACTGTATATGTGGCTGAGGTAAGTAGAAATGCACCTGAAGATTTTATTTACTTGTAGATAAATAAATAGTCAGTTGCTACAGTCATTTTAGCTAAAAAAATTATTAATGTAAAAAAGTGATTTTTGTGTTAGATAAAATAAGGCTTTTTTCCACGTTTCGTCCCTACAGAAGCCGCTTTAGCAGTGGTTCACAGGACCTGGAAAGCCGTATGAGGAGTTTGGAAGTCATCGGAGGATAATTTTTTTTTTGAAAGATTTTCCTATTTTTAATTACAATTTTCAGTACCTGATTTTCTTACCTAAATAATGTTTTTCAGTTCCTATTAATGTTAACTCAAAGTACAAAGTTTGAAGTGCCTGCGTGTGAAATATTTCAAATAAAGATTTATATTTAATATTTTTTTTTGATATTTTCAAAATCGATTATTATATACCCATGGTTAGTAGTGGTGTAACTTTGTTGGGGATTAGTGAATGTATTTAGTTAAATCAGAAGGAATTTTTAGGTGGCGTGTTCGTTAACATTCATCCACAACAAATAATAAACGAACATTTAGAACAGGTCATGCAAAGCAGAGTTAAAAACAAAGACAAGTAAAATACACAACAATACGGTAATTTATATACAATTTAAATATATACAAATGAGTTATGAATTGGTGATTTGTTGTATATTGGTATAATAAGACATGTAGTTTTTTTTGTTGAGTATGTTTGAATGCTTAAATCAGTGTTTTGATGATTTGTTGTAAGAATTAAACAGTTTGCTGTTCAACGTACAAAAGTGTTCGATTTTACAGTTCAAATGTTAGTGTGTGTATACGAGTGTTATGTAAAATATTCTTAAGTTGTACGAAGTTGCGTACCTTGAACTGTTAATTGTTAAAAGTTTTGTTTGTTACTGTTGCTAATATGTAGTGAATATATATTTCACTTTCTCAAGTAAAATAAATGAATTTTTGAGAAGTTTGTTTAAAAGTGAGACCGAGTATGCCAAAAGGTAGTTGAGTCAGAAGTTAATTCGCGCGAAAAAGTCAAAGTTTAAACTGGCGTCTCTCTGAGTGTGGAATTCCGACTGGTAAGTTGGTTCGAATTTCTTTCTTTTATAGGTTCTGGAAAGGAAAAATAGGCTCAAACACATTTGAGCGCCAAAGGCATTTTTCACGTGCATACTTAGTTTTTTAAGGCTGTTAGCCAATGAGAAATTAAGTTTCTCAGAACTAGTGTTTTGATTGAATAACAGGTGTGTGGGTGTAAGAATGGATTGCTCTGCAAAGGGGTGAAAAGGTAACGTGGATTATTCCACAACTTTAATTGATTGTTAGTGTTCTAGGGTTATGAACATGGAACCTTCTATTAGATAAAAAAAAGCAAAACATTTTTTTTTGATACAGTAAAGGTAAATGTATCAAAGTTTTCATTTTAGACAAGAAGCGATGACTGATGCATATACTAAAACAGTTCAGACGGTCTATAAATATCCATAGAGAGAAAATGTTTTTATTTATTTGGTCACTAAATCTAGATTCGTACGATGCACAAGGCTAAGTGAAAATGCAGAAGATTGTCACGTAGTAATTTTCCAAGTACGGTGAGTATTCTCACCTTGAAAATCAGCATTTAAAAACATACATATAACGTATATATGTATGTGTGTGTGTGGATACACTGAAAACTATTATGAGTTCTAAGTATCTTTGAGTTCATTTTTCATTGACGAATTTAAAGATAATTTTGCTATCAAGAAAACACGAATCAAGAACATGAAATTCGAACGTTAGTATTTTCTTAAGTCAAATTCGCAGAGAGCGAATTAATTCACGTGGCCTTTGTGAATAAAACTGAGTCATCTGGAGACAAGTTACACAGGTAAGAAAAAAACAGTTAAACCGTGTAGACAAGGTGCAAATGGTAAATGATAGACGGAAGGGTTTTCATTGTCGTAATTGTGACACTGACAAAAGGTCAAAGCTGTATTCATAGATTTTTTTCGGAAAGAATGCCATTGTCGAAGTCATATTGGTAAAATCTGGAAAGTTATTCACTTATCCGCCTTGGAATGTGACCTGACTGTCCCGAATTACAACACGACATTTTTTTATTACTATTATAAAGAATTCTTCAATCATACTTGTTTCTTTTCTTTTACTTTTTCATTTACTTCTTTTTAGTTTTGTGGTTGTTCTGTTAAAAGAAAAAAGACGCTGCAGTGTGATTGAACGCCTCATGTTCGAGTCGTAAGAGAAACTTAACCTTGTCGGCATATTTCTTTGCTCTTTGAAGCTTTTACTTCGTTTAATAAGGTGGAAAATCGCATACTTTTTACTGATTTGGTATTGAATCTCGACTGCAGACAAACGTTCAGCCAAGGACGAAATGTAAGTCACTGTTAAAATAAATGTCATGAAAACATTTTTGAAATTATTTTGACAGAACTGTTTAATTTTTGTCTGTTTATATTGTCAGTTTAACTTGAATAAGGTAATAGTGAATACAAGCAATCATAATATTCAGTTTTAGAGGACACTTACACCTAAGACAGAAAAAATGATAAGTTTTTCGGCAATGTTTAACTTTCGTGCCCCTCAAATATATGGTGTGTCAAAATGACAGTTATTCCCTTGACGTCACTATTACAGCATTTTTTTCTTTCTCGGCAATGTTTATTGTTTTAAAAAGCGATGGTTAGAATTTTAATAAAACCCAAACATCTGAAAATGGATTTATACATGAGAATTGACAACAAGGTTATTAAACACTATTTATTCATTAGATTGCTTATTTGCAAGAATAATTTTATATTTACAAAGATTATAAAAATATATAAGCCAACTATAATGAAATATTTATTAATTACCATTTTATAAAAAAATAAATATGAAAATCAATGTGTCTGAAGAACAAAATTTAAGTAAACACATAACAAGTAACTATAATTATAAATGCATTTTCAGGACTTTTCTTTTATTTGCTCTCGCCACATAAATTCAATAAGATAAGATAGGTAATAATAAAATAGATAGAAGCTTTAACATTGCCAGTTTTTCTTTCTGCAAATCATTTGAAGAAAGAGATGCTTCATATGCTGCTTGTTTCTTGAGAATTGTTTTAAGATTTAAGACACACACACACAAATATAAATTAGCAAAATAATGAACAATTGACCCTTATCGAAAAAAAAGACAATAAAAAGCGTGTAAGTTTTTAATCCGTCAAGCGAATTTTAAAACAAAGTTAAACATATTCAGACTATTTATATCGTTCGGACTGTTGTCCTCATTGTCATTGCCATATTCACAACGTTTCGCCCGTTGTACGCCCCGGCTTTCTCCTGTTGATAAACGTTGGAATATGGCAATAGAAATGAGGAAAATAGTCCGAACGATGTGAATAGTGTAAATATAGACAGATGTTAAAGTTAAACATGTTCGATAGAGAAATTCATCTGGTTTGAAGATGGAACGAGTTATATTATTTTAGAAGTGGCAGGCATGTTAGAAATTATATGTTTATATATGCAGTGGTTTGTCTGAATACGAGATGCAAAATAAAATACAGCATATCATATGAAAAGAGAGAATAATCTTTATTGGTCACTAAAATCAGGTCATAAACTTTCGCGTCACTTGAAAGGTGATGAATGACATATTGACGGTTTCCGTGAGGATAATTTGTTCTACGGAAGGAGAAAAGTTAAATTATTCACTTTTAAGTGAACAAATTATTTACCTCGTTATTTTTAAGGAAAACTTTCAGCGCTCTAATTTTTTTTTTTTTTTTTTTTTTGTTTTTTGTAATTAGCTTTCACCTTTACGATGCTTTATGGAAAATATATAATAAAGAAATTAAAATAAGACTGTTAAGAGTGAGATTAAATTTCATATTTTATAATGTATCTAATTAATGTAAGCAATTTAATATTTTATTGAATTCTAGGCACTTTGTCTTGATAGTCTAACTTTCAAAGACTCTTGTTGAAGAAATGTTAGAAAAATTACCAATAATTTTGGACATCGTATTTACAAAAATCGACATATAAAATAAATTCAAATTTTTTTTTAAATATGGGGGTGGTGTATAATTGTAGTGAGCTTTTCCATTTATTATTAGAAAATACAGCCTTAATTTAATAACAATATCACTTGATCGCTACAGATTAATCAATACACAAGATTTAAGATTTTATAAATTAAATTTTAAAAAATGAAAAAAAATATTATAAAAAATTCATTAGTCATCGAAAACATTTTTCTCAAGTCAGTAGCGTCCATAATATATTTTATACATAAAAGCTTTTCTAATTGAATAATGCACTGCAGGCTAAAATCTTAAGGCCAATGAAAATAAAGAAAAAATATCCCTTAAGGTCAATGAAAATAAAGAAAAAATATCCCTTAAGGTCAATGAAAATAAAGAAAAAATATCCGTTGTTCGACTCAACCACTTAT